GGGTTTAGGGTTTGGGGTTTGGTTACTTAATAGTCCTACTACAAGTATGCTAGTGGTAGCTGCAGCCATAATACATATTTGTTCACTCGACTCCCGCATTTAAGGTGGGAAACACTTCCTCTTGGAGATGAGAGGGGATTGGAAGTGGCACAAAGAGTTCATGAGATTGCGGGCCAGCTGGCAATCAGTTTCTGTCTGCCACATCTGCAAAGCCCAATCCCGAGGTCCCAATTCGAGACTTGGATACGTTTAGTAATAATGTTGCAAACGTTTATCCTGCTCTAAAGCCTTTATATGTTGATTGGCACCCTGTGAAAGACTGGTATGAGGCACATCCTCTAAGCTAAGTCTTGGGTACTAGAATAAGTACTAGTACTACGGTTTAGGTCTATGTGGGCTTGGGGGATTTCTTTGCATAATTGACCCCCCGAGTCGACCGGCGAACCCTTTGGTCGTGGTCGAGGGCTTTCGCCCGGAATTTATCAAGACTTGCCTGATGCATACAGCTCATCTGGGAGTGCTGCAACTCTTGAATGGGTCCATCTTTACTCTGCTGGATGAGATCGGCTGCTGGGTGTGCCGATACTTAAAGATGGTTTTTAAACTGAGTATTTATACATGTCTGCAGTATAATATAATTACACTACTTAACCAAATATTTCTGAGGCTGGCTGGGAACTTCCGATCTGGCTTCGAAGATGATAACCCTTTGCAACCGCTTCAAGGGATGGGCATCGGCGAATCGGCTTCAGACGCTTGCTACTCTTATGTTTTTCTTTTGCGGGACTCTGCAGCTTGAGTTTTGCTTTTGTGACTGGGTTTGAGGTTCTAGGGTTTAGCTAGGTTAGGGTTAAACCCCAAACCGAAGCCTAGTCCCGAGCCGATATAAGTATACATAATATAATTGGATTTGGGTTTCCGTCTCAAAGTAACTGGAGCAACCTTCTGAGCCCAAGCGCCGAACCTTAGACCTAATCCCGGCTTAGTCTCAAAACTGGTGTTTAGGGTTTGGGGTTTAGGGTTTGGGCTTTAGGGTTTAGTGTTTAGGGTTTAGGGTTTGGGGTTTTGGGTTTAGGGTTTAGGCTTTCGGGTTTAGGGTTGAGGGTTTAGCAAAAAGGGTTTGGGGTTTAGGGTTTGGAGTTTAGGGTTTGGGG